GGGTTTGAACCACCAGCCTTCTGGTTAGCAGTCAAATGCTTTAGCCACTATGCTACCAGAGCTCCCTCTGTAGTGATACTGCCTTGGAAACCCAAGGAGGGGTCATTATGAGTAGGGTCTGACTTGATGGCACTTCTTGAGTTAGCATAGGGAGTCTGTGTTTCAAGGAATTTGCCCACTTCTTTCAAGTTATATAATTTTTTGGTATACAGCTCTTCACAATACTTATAATCATTATTTCTGTAGGTCAGTTGTAATGTCTCTGCTTTCATCTATTTCTGCTCCAGTCTTTTTCTTTCTTTTGGTACCTTTAGGATTAGTTTACTCTTCCTTTTCTAGTCCCTCAAGTTGTAGAGATAGGCTATTGATTTGGTATCTTTGGTGCTCTGGTGGTGGTGTACCTAAGGCATTTGACTGCTAAGCAGAAGGCTGATGGTTTAAACCCACCAGCTACTCCTCAGAACCAAGATTGGGTGATCTACTTCCATAGAGATACCACCTTGGTACCCCCAAGGAGGGGTTCCTATGAGTCAGATCCAACTCGATGGCAGTGAGTTTGGTTTTTTTTCAGGTAGACATTTATCAATGTAAGTTTCCCTCTAAGTACTGCCTTTGCTGCAATACATAAGTATTGGTGTGTTATGTCGTCATTCTTGTTTAACTTGTATTTTTTTTTGTTGTTGTTAACTTCTAGTTTCATTCCATTTTGGTCAGAAAATAAACTTTGTATGATTTCAATTTTTTAAGGCTTGCTTAGTGTCCTAAGATAGGATCTATCCTGGAAAGAATGATCCAGTATATTGTTCTGTGACATATTCTGTAAATGTCTTTTAGGTCTAGTTGTTTAATAGTATTGTTGGAAAATCTGTTTCTTTATTGATCTTCTTTCTAGTTGTCCTGTTATCAAAAGTGGTGGATGAAAGTCTCTAAGCATTATTATAGACCTATTTGTCCCTCAACTTTTTTTTTTAAATAACACTGTCATTTTGGTCAAGGTTTACCCAGCAGTTTAGGTTCATTGTTCAGGGACATTGGTTACATTCTTCATACTCCAGGAACATTGTCATTTTTAAGAATGTAAGGGGGCAAGGAAACTAGAATGGAACTTCATTTTAAAAAGTAACAATTGTTTGGTCTCATATACTTAATTGGTTTTAAAAAAGTGGCATATATATGTATATATATGTATTTACTGTTTTTAACTTTTGTACTGGCTTTATCAGATTATCAGATCAACCTGTTAGTTCACCATAGTGTTGCACAAATTTCAGTAGCCTAAAATATCTCAGTAGTAAGAATCCTAGACATGTATTTAGAAGCAGGCTCTGATCCCAGCTGTTTGCTTATTAGCTCTTTGACCTTTCTTAGAGAACTTAAGGATCTGTTCATTTATTTCATCATAAATGCGCTGTCTGTATCATAAGGTATAGTCACTGTTTTCTCTCTTGGGTCATAATTAATTCATATAAATAGCCTTTTAATTGTTTTCATAACATAAAATTCTTGGTTCTAGGTCAACGCTGGTCCACTGGCATATGCCCGAGCTTTCTTAGATGACACAAACACAAAAAGATACCCTGACAATAAAGTAAAGCTGCTTAAAGAAGTTTTCAGGTAAAGCACATAGAAAATACCTTTTCAAGTAATTGGATTCCTTCTTTGTTCTCACTAAGCCTTATTTCCCTTTTCTTCCCCTTTTTCAGACAATTTGTGGAAGCTTGTGGTCAAGCCTTAGCAGTAAATGAACGTCTGATTAAAGAAGACCAATTAGAGTATCAGGAAGAAATGAAGGCCAATTACAGGGAAATGGCAAAAGAGCTTTCTGAGATTATGCATGAGCAGGTAAGTGCTGTTTTAGCAACTTGGAGTTCTTCTTGATTAGGAAATGTGTGTTAGTTGAGTCTTAACTACAGCCTGTGATGACCTAAACCTTTCAGTGTCCAGGATGTAGATTTCTAAACAGTGACCTAGCTTCCCACATTCATGCTATTCTGTAACTCAGATTAGTTGGGGGATAGCGAACAAATTGCCCTAGAGAGCAAGCAGCAGCCACTGCTTCATTGTGTCAGTGACCATGTTTCATACACTTTGTCTTGCCCATTGTGACATTGTGATCTAGCCCCTAAAAAAAAAACAGGGAAATGAAATGCCCCATACTATTCTTAGAGCTCTCACTTGGGTTTACCAGCATATTTAAGGAAATTTCTGTTGCCATTTTAAAAATAAATTCAAAAAAACATAAAACTTACCACTGTCAATTCAAGTCATAGCCACCCCTCCTTGGGTTTCTGAGGAGTGGCTGGTGGGTTTGAACTACCAGCACTAGCCTTCTGGTTAGAAGTCACATGCCTTAGGCACTATGCCACCCTAGCTATTAACAGCTGACCTAGACCCCCAGTGTATTATTTATGGTGACTACTTCTATGTCCCTTGCCATTATGGGCATCTTTCATGATTGCTGTTAGCTCATTTTCATATTAATTCCTTTTAGCAAGATTCCCTATGTGGACTCAGTAGTCATCAAGGGAACAGACAAACTGAATGTCAGTGAGCAGCATCCACATTAGTGTTTTGTGAGTCATGTGTTCCCCATAAGTTACAAATCTGCCTTCTTCCAAGCCTCTGGGCCAATCTTTCAAATCAGTATTAGCACCTTGATAACATGTAACTGCTTTTGCATATTCCCTGCATTAGTTTTGCAAAATAGAAACCAGAACCATTTGGGTCAATTTTCATATTCTTTGATGATTTAGTTAGGAAATTTCTATTATAGGAAACTAATTTAAATGTTTCAGCTTTAACTTGCTTGCTTTTTTTCCTCCTCCATGCTAACACATTCAGATGGGATGGTAATGTCATTTTAAATATTTTCTGAACCTTGGTAAACTGACTCATGTCAAGTCATTACTGAGTTTGAGTGACTGGAAACATTGGCATGATGGCAGTGCATGTACTGAGGAAAGTATAAGATCTTTGAAATAATTAAGAAAATGAGTATGTGAATGATTAGAAAAACTCCAGGAACCTCCAGCTTCCTCTAGAACAGAGAGCTTGAACAATGGGTACCAGCATTTGGCACTAGATCCAGGAAGAAAAAATTATGGGCTGAAAATGTTAAACTCTCAGATTCTATGGGCATGTAATATATTGTGAGCTCTAAACAACCATCAAGATTAAAGTCCTTTGAACTATTAAGCAAAGAAAGGTTGGAACCCATGATAGACTTGCTTTTGGTGTTTCCAAGGAGAGCCATCTGTCTAGAGGTCAAGTGTTAAACACAGGTTCTTTCCAGGACCTATTGGATATGCAAAGATATTTGTTTAGGGTCAGAGTGGTAGTAGCCACTCCATTTTATAGAAATCTAAGAAAAGGAACTAGTAGAGAAACATGGCTACTTCAAGTTCATCTTGAAAAAAGACTAAAGGCATGAGGCTAGGTCCTCTCTAAACTCTGAAGTCTGGTGAATCTATAAGGCTTTTAAAAAAAGAAAAGCATATTGTTCTTGACTTTCTCCTTATCACCCTGATCTGAAAATGGTCCAGTTATACATATTACATTAAACATACTCTTCTGTTTGTTTCTGACATTATGCTTTGGTAATGTGTTTCTGTGTCTCAAGATCTGCCCCCTGGAGGAGAAGTCAAGTGTCCTACCGAATTCCCTTCACATCTTCAATGCCATCAGTGGGACTCCAACAAGCACAATGGTTCACGGGATGACCAGTTCTTCTTCAGTGGTGTGATCACGTCTATGGAGTGTGTGTGGACTTACGGACTTACTTTATCATTTGTAAACTCAGGATGATTTCCAAGGCCAAGGCCAATCAGTGGGCTTGTGCAAGACACAAGAAAGGCTGAGCACAAGGGGAGAGAGAGAAAGAAAGAAAGGACTGTGTAATTTCATAGATTTTCTATAGACATAATAAGAGGGTCACATATTTTTTTAAACTCTCACTGGCAATATTTAAAGTTTTCATTATGTCTTAACAAAGGTATGTGGTGGGTACTCTTAAGCTAGAGTAAAAATTTATTCTTCTTTATAGAGAGTAGGATTAAAGTAAATGGCCTAAAGAAAACAAGTGTTAAGGATTTCACACAATAGCACTGAAATTGAGGTTGGGTCTTTTTGCCTTGAGGCTAAGCTGGAAAATCTTGAAAATATTTTTCCCCCTGTGGCACATTCAGGTTGAATTACAAGAACTATTTTTGTGATTAGTTTTTGATGACTAAGGAATTGACCAATGTAATTTTTGTACCAGTGAACTAGGAGTTTAGTGCTTTTATACTCATTTATTTGCATTTTAAAAATATGAAACTATGTGAGCTTAAAACTAGTCAAGTGGTTTAGAACCCAAAGGCTTGTATTAATAAACATAACTATGCTAAAAATGAAAATGTAATAAATTATGTACATAATATTGTTAATACAATCTCATTCTGTACATACATGTGTTACATTTCTATACATTTTTAATACATCAGCTTCCACATTAAGTTTGTGACAAATTTGTGTTGTCAGTATATGCAAAATACATTTGACGTTACTGTTTCATTCTTGTACATAAATAAGTGCAATATGGAGATGTATACAGTCTTTGCTATGTTAGGTTTATAAACTGTTAAAAATTTCATTCTTTTGCCAAAGTGATGGAGTATGTAATTGGTGAATCATAAATCCTGTGGTGAATGATGATATAATTTAAAGCTTTCACCATGTTATATTTTCTTTGAAGACATTAATTTAGTAATTTTATATTTGGGGAAATAAAGGTTTTTAATTTTATTTAACTGGAATCACTGCCCTACTGTAATTAAATAGTCTGTACCACATCATCTGTATTAAAAATAACATTGCTGATTTTTTGGTAGTTGATACTGGGTATTTATTGTTTGAGAGTCCAGAAAACAGGAGGGATGAATTGAATTTAGACAAAAAAATTCAATTTAGATTGTAGATTGAAATTGACAAAACGTTGGAAATTGTTGAAGCTGATCATTGTTTCAAAGGCTATCATCTTTTTGCATAACCAATTCAAGAAGGAGCATATGTGATGCTTTGAACATGTTGACCACCCAGTAGCAAGGGATCTTTTGGCAATCTTTGAACTCTCCCTCTCTCTATCCATAATCAAACTGTACTTTACAGTGGAGAAGAGCCTTGGTGATGGTCAGGGGTAACTCACCAGAATTGATGGCCATCTACCTGGACTCAGAGCTAAAGAAAATTCTCTATATGAGTTTATGAGTTTACCACAAGGCTTCGAACTGGTTCTTCCTGTTTCAGTCATGGCCAAAGAAGCAAAAACAGAACAGACCTCGAAAGTAACAAGCCAACACCCTGCTAGAAACTTAATCTCTCTTGCCCTTCAGATTTACAGCAGAGTCAGAAACAGCAGTGCCACTCAAAGATGGTGGCCAAACACACCACTTGGTGTGTCTCTCTCCACAGTCCTGCCAGTAATCAAGTCTCACATATCAGGCTCCTGATACCTATACCTCTTCCGAGTCTCCCTTCTAGGGTCTTGACCCAGAAGTTTCCTGTTCCAATTATTGTTCTGGTTCACCCAAATTTAATAATTTGGATCTGTTCCAATTTTGCTTCATTGTGACTATAACAGTAGGGTAGGTATGAGAGTTTTGTCTCCAGTGTCACTATGCTGGACTACCTAGTCCTAAATATTTCATGGAGAAGCCATTAAATATATCATCATGTAGAAAGATTACATATTGAAGTCTAAAAATAGCTAATTTGATATCTCACCATTGAACTTGGAGAATAGTTGTACAGACACCACATCAGGTAAGATTAGGAGTGGAAACTGGCCAACCCTCATTTATTGTAACAGTGAAGAAAGGAGCCATCTCTAAGTTGAGGACATCAACTATTGACCCTGTAATGATACAAATTTATATCAATTAAACATTTAATTCAGGTATAAGTTTTTAATTGCTGTATAAAATAACAATCAGCAGTTTCTGCAGGAAAATTTATGTTGAAGTAACTTTGCAGTTAAAACTCTTATTAGTACCTTATTTAGGAATGTAACCTACCTGGAAAATAAGTCAAGATGATGTTGTAGTTGTTAGCTACCATGGACTCACCTGACTCACGGCAACCTTATGTATAACAGAACAAGATACTGCTCAGTCCCGCACCATCTTCATGCTTTGGGTTGGGGGATTGGAGGAGCCATGAAAACCCTCAGTCTAGGGAGTAAACTGAGGTAGCATCTTGCACTGGACAAAGTGTGAAGAGTAGGGAAGCAAAATTGGAAGGTAACTTGCAAATGAAGAAAAATAATCAGAGACCTGTTTAACCACATAACAGAATTACTCAGTGGAGATACTCTGAGTATTTGTTTTCTTCATGAGCATCACATTGCTTGCAGGCTGGCACTATCTTTTGGTCCTAATATATGTTTTTATTACTGTTTAGGTGCCATCAAGTCACTTCTGCCTCAGAGACCATATCACTTACATCCAACAGAATGAAACACTATCTCACCCTGCACTATCAGTGGTTGTCATGTTTGAGCCCATTGTTGCAACCACAATGTCAATCCATCTCATTAAGGGTCGTCGTCTTTTTTGCTGACCCTCTGCAAAGCATGATGGCTTTCTTCAGGGACTGGTCCCTAAGATTAAGTCTCATCATTCTCACTTCCAGGGAGCATTCTGGCTATATTTCTTCCAAGACACATTTGTTCATTTCTTCTGGTAGTCCATGGTACATTCACTATTCTTTGCCAACACCATAATACACACAAGAAAGCTAAAAACTATGACTGTGATTAGTTGGTAGTAACCTCACCCAAAGGAGCTATTCCAGGGAAAACTCTGGAGAACAGTGCACACAGCTATCCCAAGCACCGTCTCTAGTCACAATCAGGTTCATTTCATTCCAAAATCATTTATTTCCACCAATGGGGGAATTGTTTGGATTCATTATGTTATATTCATATGTAACATACTGTGTAGATATAAAAATGAGGAGTAACTGTATACTGCTATAGAGTAGGGAGCTCTAGTGGTGTAGTACCTAAGGCATTAGACTGCTAACCAGAAGGCTGGTGGTTCAAACCCACTAGCCACTCCTTGGACAGAAAAGAGGTACACTGTCTTTCAAGTGCTGAAAGCAAAGAATAGTCAACCCAGAATTCTCTACCAACTGAAAATATGTTTTAAAAATTTAAGAAAATCAAGACCTTCTCAAAATAAGAAAAATCCAAGGAATTTGTCACCAGAAGAACTACCCTAAAAGTATGGCTAATGAA